TTATTTGTTTAACAAAAAAAAAGATTCTTAAAGTAATTAATTATTTTTATTAAAATTAATTCAAAATATATTTTTCATATTTCAATTTTGGTTTGAAAACAAAAAATTAAAAAAAAAAAAAAGAACACTTTTAAGTTTAGGTTACAAAAAAAAATAATTTTAAAAATGGCAAAATATTATTAAATTTCTTAAATAATGAAAAAAAGTTTTATGTGAAATCATTTTTTTAACACTATTAAATACTTGTTATATCAAAATAAAACAGAATTTGAAACAAAATTTGATGACTTTTTGTGAAAAAATGTAAAAGGCTTAGATATAAAGTAAAAGTTTTCTTTAAACCTTAACAATTTTTAATTATTTTTTTAATAATTTGTAATTATAAAAATTGTTACTTATTATTTAATTTTGGTATTTCTAAAAAATATTAAATTTGCATTAATTTTCTTTCTTTATTACTTTTTAAATTTATTGATTTTATTTGGCAGTCGCGTACTATTCTTGAATCTCATCTGATATAATCCTTATAAATTTATCCATATTTTGGAAGCTTTCTCTTGTAATAAGAATAATAAATGTTTTTTAAGAAATCAATCAATTAAAATTAATCAATTAAAGAAATATTTAAGAAAATATAGCCATTTTTTTTTTGTAAAATTTGTTTCACATAATATTTTTTTTTTTTATTATAACAGAAACATTTTTAAGAAATCAATTAATACGATGGACAAATACAGACAGAAAGGAATTTTTTTTTTTTTAAAAATACAATTATTTTAAAATTTTTTGTTATAAGATCTAATTATATTTTATTGAAAATATTTTAAGTAATATATCTATACGTATATGTTAAATAACAAACAAACGCCATATTATGTTTAAATGTTTTACTTAATATATATATTATGTAAAAAGTAAATAAAAAAAAATAAGATAGGATATGTGCTTTTCTTTTTATATCTTATTTTTAAATATAAAACTATTCATTAACATTTTAGTAAGAGTCTAACATATCATGATATTTTTTTTTTTAAACTCGTTCTATTATTTAAACATACATACATTTCGAAATATTTTTTTCCAAAAATACTGAAATAATGAAGCAAATATTTTAATTTCAATGATTAGCATTTTGTTTATAAAAGATCATTATCCTTTACCAAATGTTAGTGAAGATCAAATTACTATTTTCATTAATTAAAAATTAAATTGAGCAGATTTTTATTCAATAAACAACAAATTAGTTTTTAATATGTATTTAATATGCAATATAATTGTGAATATAACAAATATTGTGTTATGAGATCTATAATTATAAATTGTTCTATTATTCTCCATATTTTATTAGTCGCATCAGTTCGAGTGATGGGACATTATTGTAAAGAATTTTGTTTTTCAGTAAAAATTATAAGATTTTTGAATAACAACCCATATTACGTTCGGTGATGCAACTAACAGAATATTAGCGAACTGATTCTTATGTATATTATATCAGTTGATTGTATATTTTGCCTTAATTTTAAATTTTGGAATGATCAAAAAGCATCGATTTGTAATCATACAGAAAATTATGTACGAAAATGCTTCAATACGGTAATATTTTAAAGTTTGGTGTCCAAAAATGTCAAAAATACGCATCGTTATGACAATCATATGAAATCAGTTATGCATAAATTTTTTTTTGCATTAATGCACATTTTTGATTACTTTCCAATTATACCCAAAGCAAGACAATATAACAAAAATATTCTTCTTTTTTAGAAAATTTCATAATATTAGGCTATGTATAATTGATATAAAAGAATAATATAATATATTTGCTTCAAAATTTATTATTTTGACAATTTTAAAAATTTAAAACATCGGGATTTTGCATTAACGAATGAAGTACTTAAATATTACATTACTCCTACATATTATGTGTATTTCTCGGTTGAAAAGAAAAAAACAAAAAAAAATAATAAATATTTAATCATTTTAAATAGTTATATATGTTCAATATATGATTTACCCATCCATTTTAAAAATAAAAAAAAATTTATGACACTAAAAAGGCCAACGTATTTATCAAATATAAGGAGAAAAGCAACAAAATTCATTAAAATTTTCAATTTTTGTGTTTTTTATCATTCAATTATCAATTTTTGTGTTTTTTAAGTGTTCATATAAAATTCTTTGAAATTTTTTTTTTTTTCGTAATATTTTAATAAAATATTTCAAGTTAATCATTTATTCTTAAGCAATTGCATATTAAAAAAGATTTAAAAAAGATTGTGTCAGCATTATAGTGTTGTTTCAAATTATTTATGTGAATATTTGTTTACAAAAACTGGATAATTAGTTCAAATTGCCAATGTGAATTAATAATCCAGTTGATTGAAATCAATTCATATGGGAGGGTGAAAATAGAAATCATTAATTTTCGATACGCTGACTGACATAATAAAAATTATATTATATCTTTATTAATTATATCTTCAATTAAAAAAAAAAAAAAAAATTGAGACAATAAATATTCAACTTATTAAAAATATTACAAAAAAATATTTTAGTGCCTTAAAACTATAAAACAGAAAAATTTTAAATATGTAATTCTAAAGTACATTTTAATATTGTCATTACAAACTTAATAATGTCACTAATCAAAACCACATTATTAAATTTATTAATATATGTATAATTAAAATTAATAATAATTAAAAAAAAAAAAAAATCACAAAACTATTATATGTTACGAGTGCAATTTTTCTAATTTTCATTGTTCAATAAATTGAAAATTATATTTATTTTTTCGATTTAAGGTTTAAGCAAGAGCATTCGTTTTTTTTTTTATTTATAACATATTGTGCTGATAAATTACATTGCGAGATTGGTGTCTAACTCTTTTGATTTTTTCTAATCTGTTATAAGTCGAGTGACGACCGTCACTTGTGTAATAAAACAATTTTTCAATTTGCCTAATTTATTTCGATTATTTCTTATAACTCTTAAAATATTTTTTTTAAATTTTCGAAAAGATTAGAAAATTAAAGAAATTTCTTTAAATTTTTTTCACAAAACAAGGCCAATAATAAAATAACAATTGTGTTATACTTAAATATGCACTATTTGCACCCTCTATAACTCTTAATTATGTTGTAACCAAATCTATAGAGAAATAATTATGAAATAATAGAATTTTTTTTTAAATTCTTAAAACAAAATCAATGCAATTATCATTATTACAAGATTTCACAATTAATTGGGAAATTATTTTAAGATTTTTAATCAAATTTTTTTACAACAATAATTTCTGTAACTAATATCCAAACACGCAATCTTTAACTTCTTACCATCTTTACAATTTATCATCTAATTTATTTATAAGAATGCCATTAGCAAATCGAATGCAATGTTTGAACTTCATCAAATATAAAAATACAAAACCCGAATATTAGAATTAGTAAATTAGTCTTATTGTTACATTTTAAGTAACTATGAGTGTAAATTATAATATTTTTATAAAAACATAAAAAAAAAAACTAAAAAAAAAAAAATAATTATAACAATTAATTAACATTCTTTAAATATCATTTTTTAATTGTTGTGTTTTCGTAGAATTAAAAAAAAAATACATATTATTCTTGATCCAAAAGGGTCTCAATTAAAAATATAAAAAAAAAATAAAATATTTTGTTTTACTTTATGTTAAAAGTAAAAAAAAAATGTATTTTAGATTTATTAGAAATTCTAAAAATAAAATTTAAGATCGTAAGAATCAATTTGAATTTACTGCAAAAAAAAATATATAATTGAATTAATTTGAACAAAAAATATTAAAATTTCAATTAAATTTTAAACAAATATGAAATTTTTTCAGTAAATTGTGCCAAAATTTATTAGAACATTCAAAAAACAAAAACAAAAGAAAAAATACTGCAAATAAATGAAAATAAACTTTTTTAAAAATTAAATAGTTAAAAGAAATTGTGAAGATTTCATAGTTTTTATTTAGTCTCTGGGGAAAATTCTCAAATTTTATTATTATTTTAATGAAAATTTTAAATTTTAAAAAATTTTAATTAAATCTTTTTATAAATGTTTTATAAACAACATTTTTTACTCATTTGCTATTTGTATTGTTCAAATTGTAATGTTAATTTTAAAAAACAAAAAAAAAAAAACAAAAAAAGTAAGTGTAATAAAAATAATAACCATTTTGTTTGCAATAAATTATTTTCCAAATTTTATGTGTTTTTAATCTAAAAATTTTTTCGTGTAGTGCAATTTAGAGTATTGTGTGCAAGAATTTTTGTTATACTTTTATTTTTGATATGTTTTCAAAAACGTTTCTGATAAGTAGGTACGAATTGAAAAAAAAACTGATATTTTATAGATTTGCACTTTTTGCATCAAAGGAATTTAAAAAACATGGTGATTTTGTTGTTAATGGATTATTGTAAACTTTTATAGAACCTTTATTCACATTTTTACAAAAGTTTAATTGATTTTTATAATTTTGTTTAAAAATTTAGATATTTTCTTTAATTCTCATGAAACAACTGGATACTACTCTCAATTATTTTATGATTTTTATAGTTTAAATCCGTGACTTCTATACTGCTTTATAAAAAGTTTAAGTAAGGTATTAATACCATTCAATTCCTTTACCTTGTAAAAAAAACTGCTAAAGCTTTTGATACATTTTTGAATACAATTTTTCGATGTCGATTTTTGCGATACCCAATATCGTATAAAACGCATTTCGTATGTTTTCGAATGTAATGGATACGTATAGAACGCATTTAAGAAAAGTGTACAATGTCACGAGCTTTTTTGGAGTGTGATACTTTACAAAGTTTAAGTTGTAAGTGCATTATTGAAGTACTAACTTAAAATTGTCGGAAAAGAACAATATTTTTTATAAATAGTTTTGGAAAATGCAATTTTTTGAATGTGAATAATTAGATCAATGCATTTTTCTCGTAATACCATGGAAATAACAAAAAAAGAAAAACAAATTAACATGTATGTAATTAAAATAAAAGAAATTACATTTGTATTGTATTTTGTATAAAATCATTTTACATAATATTTTACCTAACAAAAAATTTAATAATTTTTATCTCATGAAATTTTTATTTTTTTTAAGGTCTTCCCGTGTAACTTGTTTATACACTTTCTTTCTTTTGTTGTCACTATTTAAATCCTTGTAATACCCGAAACCACCTCCACCAACACGTTTTTGTGGTCTTTCACGTTTATATCCAACTTTTAAATCGACAGCTGGTGGAACATTAAATCCAAAACTTTTGGACACTTTTAAAAGATCTAAAGTGTTGACATTGAAAATTGTTTTTAAATGATGAGAATCATAAGCCCTAACGTAAGCTTTGAAAGCTTCTTTAGCTGATTGATTAAGAAAATAATTTTTGCTTATTAATTGTTCCAACTGAAAATATATAAAAAAAAAGGAATCAATTTTTTTGGATATTAGACATTTGAAAGAGAAAATCGAATAAATATTATGAAAAATATAATTGTTTTTTTTTTCGCTTTTTAATATTCCATACCTGTAGCTGAATGTCTGCAATTTTTGACCAAGAAAATTCGAATTCATTTAATGGTACTCTAGCCTGCTTCAAATATCGTAAAAATCCCAATTCTTCAGGTCTCAGAATTAATAAAGCATGTCCAGATCCTCCTTCTCCTCGAGCAGTTCTACCAACACGGTGAATATATTCCTTCACACAAAATTGAAAAAAAAAAAAATTTTAAAACGGAATATTTGAAAATTAAATTTTTTACTTTTGGATCGTCTGGAGGGTCATATTGAACTATCCAATCAACTTGAGGAATATCCAAACCTCTTGCAGCTACGTCTGTGCATAACAAAATTCCAGATTCGGCATTACAAAATTGGAAGAATGTTGTTGTACGTTTTGTCTGTTTTTGTTTTCCCTGTTAAGAATAATATAACAATAAAAAGTGGAACACCAATATAACAAGTACTAACGTGTATTGACGTAACAGATAAGTCGATATAATTAAATAACTCATGGTGATATTTGACGGACATGCAGGATGAAAAGAAAACCATTACTTTCTTCTTCCTATTCTTTTTCAAAAATGTGAATAAAACAAGAAGTCTCTTTTCCGAAGGACATACTATGTATCCTTGCTCTAACCCAGATACAGTAGCTATTTCTTTCTGATCGTCTACCCCAACATAAATCGGCTCTTTTTTTAAGGCTAGCTTAGATAGAGCATCAATTTTTTCTGTTTGAGTTGCAGAAAATAACATAGTTTGGCGACGTTCTAGAAAAAGAAAAAAATAAATCAAAATAATTAATTATGTAGATAATATATAACAATCTTACTTGGAAGTAAATTAATGATTTGCCGCAATTCTTCTTCAAAGCCTATTTCTAATATCCTATCTACTTCATCAATGATTAAACATTGAAGATTTTTGTACAAGAAGTCCGGCGAGTTTTGTAAATGATCTAACAATCTACCAGGAGTTGCAACCAAAATATTTATTCCTTTTCCTAACTTTTCTGCTTCAACTGACCGATTTGCTCCGCCCATAACTAAACCATACGTGTGATGGTGATATTTCATTAATTCTTTTAAAACACCAAAAGTTTGCATTGAAAGTTCACGGGTAGGGGAAATCACTATAACTCCAGTTCCATTTCTTGGCATAAATCTTAGTTTTGTTATAAGTTCGATTGCTGGTATTAGAAAGGCTAAAGTTTTTCCAGAACCGGTTTTTGCCGCTCCGATCAAATCTCGACCTTCTAATAGAGGTGGGATAGATTTGGCTTGAATTTCTGTCATTTGACTAAATCCCATGTCTTCAATGCCTTTTAAAGTATTTTCAGAAACATAACCTTCTAACTTATTAAAACCCCTATCTTCTATATCGATGACAAGTTTTGGTTGACCGTTTTGTTCCGTTACAGGTTCCGGTAAATTATTTGTTTCCATTTCTTCTGTACTTTCTGCACCTTTTTTGGGTTTATTTTTTTTCTTCTTCTTTTCCTTCTCAATATTGTTTGGTAATGGTTTTTCTGTATCTGACATATTTTGCTCCCCTAAAAGATATCTCAAATTAATAAACGAGTTTTTGTAGGTAATAAGCTTTGTCTTGTTAAATCTTTGTCTGATTAAATCAGATATGCTATTAATATTTCTTAAAAACTTACCACATCAAACTGCAACTTACTACAGTTTTTCTGTGATAAAATTTTCAAATTCGCCTTAGATTCATCATTTTCATCCATAAGTATTATATGTAAAATTTTAGTTTACTAATAAGTCATTGAAAACAAAAGTGTACAAACAGTAAAGTAGTAAATTAAAAATTTACATAGTAAAGCATATTATAAATTTTAGTATTTTAGATAAATTTGACATTAGACTTAAATACTGCATCTAGACTTAAAAAGAATTAACAAAATTTCTTGATTTTTATGGAAACTTATTGAGATTATATACAAAAACTATACAGTCAACTTGCACCTACCTTCTTTAGTCAACACATCCTGAACAGTTTTCATTTTTTTCGGATTAAAAGGACCTGGAAATTTTGGAGCAGATATTTCAGCTTCTTCACTATTAACATCATTGCCTTTACGTTGTTTTGCTTTCATTAATTCTTTTTTCACCTTTTCTCGTTTTTTTATTTTTTTCATTAACAATTTTTCGCGAATTGACATCTTTTTTTTTTAATATTTCTTGTCCTTTTTGCAATATTCACCTATAATTCTTACTTTTTTTTTAATTATTTTAACAGCACCACGCGATTGTTGAATTCTCAATTCCCACGTTTTATTATTGAAGTTTTTGATTCTACATTTTACTCAATTTTAATGTCAAAGCAGGTTGTCATGTCATAATAATTAGGCGTGTTCAAGAATTGTCATTTTAACAATGATTAAAAATCACAAATAAACGTAGCAATTTGAAATATCCTACAATATCACACCTATGAAATATGACGTAAAACAAAATTTAGAGAGACTTACATTAAGTTGGAAGATTACATTTAGTTGGAAGGGTACAAGTTTCGGCAACTTTGAAAATTACTATAATTATACACAAAAGGAGTTGTACGAATTATTTTGACATTCAGGTTTACAATTTCGAACACATATAATCTTTAGGACAATATTTTTTGTTATTTTTTTAAAAATACTATCAAAAAAGGAGAAAATCCGACAAAATCCAAGCTTGCACCATGTTTGTATCTATATTTTGAAATTGTGAAATTCGCTCTTTAATTTAGAACATTTTACATATGTAAGTATTGTTAATCTAAGAATATTGGGAATTCTTATTTTCTTTTCAAATTGATAAATCTATTGATTATTTGTATATTACGTTTGTATTTTTAAGTTACTCTAATCTCAAAAATTCCTTGTATTTTTAAGAAAGCTCGTCTTAAAATTTTTTATGTCCATTAAGTAAGTCTAATTAAATGAATCTAATAAATCTGAGTTTGCATGTATGTTTCAAATCAATATATAATACAAAATTCTTTTATGTCCAATAGCATTTCTATCACTTTTACAACTATCACTTATTTTTGATAACTTTCGATCTCTTCATGTTCAAGGTATTCAATTATAATTTAAAACCTGATGTAAATATGTACTCTCACCAGTTTGTTTTAGTAACAATTCTAAAATTTTGGGACTAAACATAGACGAGTTTAACAACCTTGGCCTGGCTTTCATCTGTTGCTGGTGATCAGGATTCCTTCTTAACTTAATTTAGTTTGAATTTGTATGTTTAATTTAGTTTTATTTTGATTTTCGTTTTCGTTTCGAGACGGGGAAATCCCTTATCATTAAAAGTTTCATGTAGGAACTATTATATTAAAATTTCCTTTTCTCTATTAATATAAAAATCCAATTCATTCAAGTAAAACATTCAAGTAAAAACTTTTTTAATTTGAATGCCTATTTACGTGAAGAGAACTCTTAACAAAAAAATAGACAGACTTTACAAATTCGACTTATATTTGTGTAGTGTCTGTCTATTTGGGAAATATAATAGACGGGGCTGTCAAAAAATTGATTAAAGAACGAATTTCAAAATTAGGAATGGTATAGTTTTTTTGACATGACATTTAAAAAATTATTATGAAATTTTGCTTTTGCACATTTTAAATTACGCTTTCATCCAAGTTGTATATTGTGTGGAACCGTTGCATAATTTCGAATCAAAAATACGTAAAAAACATCTTATAAATTAAATTAATTATAAAAAATTTGAGGAATAAACATGCCACTATTTAGCCGCATTTTAAACAGAACGGTATTTAAAAAGATAAATTTTATTTTATACATATATTTTAAATTTTTATTATTGTAGACATCTTCATTAGTAAAACAATGTTTCAATCAACAATATGCAAATAGATTTTTCCACAAAGGTAAGCACGAAAATAACAATAAATATCATTTATCAACATATTCTTAGTCGCTCTTCTATTAAGTGAAGAACGATTACTGTAAAATAAAGCTCAAGATTTGACCAAAATTATTGAACTTCGAATATTTTGCATTAATAAGGACTGTGCTAATTGACCTCATTTAAAACTATCAGAAAAGTATAGCTATGATTTACAGATAGAAATCACATGTTGATAACGAAGCAAACTACACGCAAGTTTTTGAATATTGATTATAGTTTAACTATGATTATGTTTTCTATTTTTAATTTGCATAATACGAATGAAATTAAATGTTAAGATATTAAAAAACAACAGACGATGTTTTCTATTGTGGTTGTGTGTGTGTACATACCGAAATACTTAAATAACTCTTTGCATATGAAAATTGTGGTATCGCAGTACTTTAATGTTTTTGATAGCTTTGATTAGGAATTTACATCTTTATTAAAATAAAAATTCACTCATTTCAGGTACAGCTTGGTATGCAGCCAAAGTTCAACAACCAGCGCCAGACTTTAAAGGATTAGCTGTAGTTGATAAAGATTTTAAGGAAATTCAGCTCTCTGATTATAAAGGACGCTATTTAGTTTTATTTTTCTATCCCCTTGACTTGTAAGAATAAATTTTCTTTGAGATACATAAAAATTTTATAACATAATTTCCTTGTAGTACTTTTGTATGTCCAACCGAGATTTGTGCATTCAGCGATCGTATTAAAGAATTCAAAGATCTTAATACTGATGTTATTGGGGTATCAGTTGATTCTCATTTTACTCATTTAGCTTGGAAAAATGTAACAAGAGCAGATGGTGGATTGGGAGAATTACATTATCCATTACTATCTGATTTATCAAAGAAAATCTCAAATGATTATGGTGTTTTATTAGATGACGGAATTGCACTCCGTGGAACTTTTATTATAGATCCTAATGGAGTACTAAGACAATATTCTATAAATGATTTGCCTGTTGGAAGATCTGTAGACGAAGTGCTACGATTAATTAAAGCATTTCAATTTGTTGACAAGCATGGTGAGGTTTGCCCAGCTAATTGGAATCCAAAGACAAATCCTGCAACAATCAAACCTGATGTAAATGAATCCAAAGAATACTTTAATAAGCATGCAAAGTAATAAAATATCGAATAAACGTTTATTCTAAACTGTTACAACCTAATCTTCAAAAACAAAAAAAAAATTTTTAGTTATTTTTTTTAAATTCCAAAGTTCTAAATTGAATATATGAACGCTATACTTTAAATTTATGTAATCATCTATTTTATAAATCTAGAATAAAATACAGCTAAGTTATCAATTGGAAAATTTAAATGATTCATTAAAATTTTGTTGAAACTTAAAAGCGAAGTGGTGCAATTGTTGCGGAACCAAGTAAAAATAAAAAATTTTTAAATTTTAAAACTTTGTTTTCTTTCGAAGACGTTCCAATGCATTTAATTCTCCTTGTTGAACAGATGCCTCTGCAAATATTCTCCTGACTTTTTCCTTTCGCTCCAAATCACTGAAAAAAGTTTATATAAATAAAGTGAATTAGTATCCCAACAAAATGTGAATTTATGGTTAGGCATAAAGTGATACAAGAGCCTCTTTTTCTGTTTACGTACCTTTGAATTTGCTTTTTAATTTTTATCTTATTTAAAAATTGTGTATCCCTTCGGATTTCTCTTTCAGCTCCCTTAGTTTCTCGTTTTATTTTGTGAATCAATTTTACTCGCATTGTTTTTTCTTCCGACATTTTTCGTCGTCTTTTATCATCGGAAACTTTCTCAAATCTTGGTTCAAATAATCGTAAGGCTTTTGGCTTCCTTACTGGTGGGACTAGTTTTGATAATTTATAGTTGTACGTTTCACTGAAAGTTTTTTTCGCATTCATGTAGTTTTGTGAGACGATTTCTGGATAATTCTCTAAATCTAATTGATCCATTAAATTAATAAATTTTTCAGCAATGTACCTGCCACCAACGTTGTCGATTAACAAATAGGCAAATTCATTTATCAATTCAAATGTCGTGTTTAACACTTTAATTCGGAAATTGTCATCTATGGAATTATCCGTAATCAATTCCAAAGAACTTAATTTTCTTTCAAAATTTAAATTATCAATTTTATTGCCTAAACATAATGCATTATTTCCTAATGTTGCTGCAATTGATTCAAATGGTGAAATAACTTTTATAACTTGAACTGTTTTTTTTGGTATAGAAAGTATAATGATTCCTAAAAGAAAGTAGAATGCTGCCGGCAAAAACCTTTTAGAAAAGTTTGTATATTCAAGCACCACTGTCACAAGAAAAAGCCCTAAAGAAATGTCTTTGCGGGATTTAAAATTGCATCGTGTTAATATATGGCTAATAAATATTACAGATGGTGTTACAACCGGATGACGAAAATCTGAAGTCGAATACAAGTTGGATATTATTTTAAAAATTATTATAGTATCAATAGCTGGAACCTTTTTAGTATTTAATTTATATTTTTCATATTTTGTTTTTATAATTTTCAAAATCTGTTCCGCTGTACCTTCCGGATTTAGCTGGACCATATCAAATAAATACGGCATTATTTGATCCAGTATTTTAAACGAATTTTCAATGTCGCAATTCTCATTAAATATATAATCTAGATATTCTAAACTATATTTGTATAATAGTGAAATTTTTTCACGGTTTTGTCCATCTAACTTAGGATTATTGTGTTGAATTAACTTTTTTATCACAAAACCTTGACATTCCGCTTCTTTTTCTAAGAGTAGATCTGAAAATTCTTCCAGAGTTGTTGGTATTTCTTTAATATTCTGAAGTTTTTTGTTCTCCGAAACACTTAATTTTGTTTTAAGTTTAACTTTAGCCGAGTCTAATTTATCGCTATCTACATTGCCATCACTACCTTCATCTGATGAAGCGGAATCTTTCAAATCTTGTAAATCATCATCTTCCTCACTTTCTTCTCCCTCTGAGCTGTCTTCTTCACTTTTTTCACCTGATTGCCCTTTGGATGTACCATTTTCAATAAATGGTTCGTCATAATTTTTCCCCAAATCTGTTTCTCCTAAAACAAAAAAAAATATTTAAAATAATAACCAAATCTTTTTTAGGTAGTTGCTTACCATTAATGTCGTAAGCAAGTATTTTGCCTTCATCCTCTTCTTCCGAATGCATGAAATATCCATCATCGAGATCATCAGCTGAAATATGTTTTGGTTTATCCCCTATTTCTTCAGGCTTCATTCTTGCAATTCTCTCTTTTTCAAGTTTTTCCAACCTGAGCTTTTCTTTTTTATCTATTTCTTCTTTAGTTTTTAATTTATCAGTGACTTCTCCTCTTGGTTCAAAAATCATTTCACGCATTATTTTATCGTAATCATCTAATTGCTTTTTTTGTGGGTTTGTATAATTTGAATTTAATTTTCCTAATTGTGGTAATAGCATTTTATAGCTCTCATCTAACTTGCTTGTCATTTGAAGTACTTCTTCCTTGTCCTTTAAAATCTCTACTTTGCGACGTTTGGCCTCAATAATCATATCTTCAATTGCAGATTTTCTATCACTTCCAGCCGATATTTCACCTCCTCCAAAATGTGCAGCCTTTGTAAAATCAGCATCTAGAGTTTCATCTGCATCCGATTCATCAGAAGCTTCATCTTTAAATTGTTCAACTTCTTCGAGCGTATGCCCCTTATGGGTGAGGATTTCGTCATCATTAAGATTAAAAAGGTCTTTTTTGTGTGCTTTATTAAATTTACTTTTTTGCAAAGCAGCAAAGCGCAGATTAGCGATTTCCTCATTACTAAGATTCTCACTAATTCTATGATCCTTGAACTTGTTTGTTTTGTTCCTAGTTTCAAACTCTTTTCCTAAAGTCTCTTTTCGTTTCTTAACAGCTTTACCTCTAGAAATTCCTGGTAATCCATGATCGTGTTTATTTTTGCGTCCCAATATTTTGAACTTTTCTTTATTTTGATGTACTTCGAATGGGTTTATTTTCTTTAATGTTTCGAAAGCCTGTTTTTTTTTCAAAGCCGCTTCCGAGTTGACTCTTTTTCCCTTCTTTTTAACCATTCTACAAAAATAAATTTGTTATTAACTTATAAATTTATTTATCTAAATTTTTCACGTGTTGTTTTGACGGCTGTTTGACAACAATCTGTTTACATTTTTGTAAACATGTAACATGCTCTAATTAATTCACAGTAGTTTGACAGCAATCTATTCATTCACAATAATATTCGGGGATAGGGCTGAACAACATCATATAAGTGTATTATTATTAAATTTGAATTCAAAATGACATAATTCCAAAGATATCACTTTTATTGCAGTGGAAATTTAGAAGAAATTAAATATATATAATATTTAATCGCTTTTTAGATATTTAGAATAAAAGGTTTATATGATTAATATTAAGTTAAGATCAGTTGAGTTATATATAAGTAATGCAATACAAATACCTAATTATTTTTCCAAAACTTCGGAAAATTTACAAAATTCATTTTAAATCTTACTTAAAGAAATATTGTAATTCATTATCCTAGACAACTTTTTAACTCGAAACCCATGATAATGTAAAATTATTTTTTGACAATGCCAAAAAATTTTAATTCATTATTAGAATTAGAGACTCTGGTTACGGTAAATGTAAACACTCTTCATAAACATACATAAGTACATGCATATAATTAATTATACGCAATTAATTCAATTAAAAACATGTAAATATTTTTTCTTATTTCTAATCAATTTCTACAAACAATGTACTTACATATATACTTATGTATTGTGTATACACTTTTATATTTTAAAAATATTTCTATTGGAATAAATTGTATTTTATTTTTTAAAAACGAAACGTTAATGTTTGTTATACTTTATTTACTGACTCTTTTTTTTATATGCACATTATATTTACATACCTACTTAGATATATTGAAATTTATAACGCTTAAATAATCCTAAACGTTTTCGTTTTTCTTTTATTTTTGTTTGGAATTTTTCATATACCCAATAAAAAGTATTTTGATACTATTTCCATTTAATAACATTCTATCCCCAAGGAGCACTAATGGGGATTTCTTGTACTAAATATTGTTAAGGTGTATTTTTATTATTGTGAATTTTGTTGTTATTTTATTTTTTATTTTTCCTTAATGTTAGGACGGTAAAATAAAATTTCTTTGTTTTGTGGTGTTCAATTGTACTTACGTACAAACTGTTGTATTTATGCTATGCAGAATATTATTGAAGATACAATGAAATATTGTATAATATATAAGAATGTACATACATATGTATGTATTTTTACATCTAAATAATAATATAATATGTATAAGTAATCAAATACCAACATATATACATATTATATAATATATTGTATATAAATTTTCTTTGGATAAAATATTATTTATAAACTCTGTCGAAAATAAATTTTCAATTGTTATTAAACTTCTATTTAATAGTGAAATCAGGACTGAAGTATCAAGATATTTTACGAAGGATATTTTGCAATAAATTACAATGAATAATAAAATTTTGAAGACAGACAAAATTATTTTTGGTTTATACTTTACTCTTACATCTTGCTTGTAATTTTCTTTTAATATTTTTTTTTAGTTTAAAGAATTAAATTGCGCGCATCGTCTTACTCTAAGAATAAAAAAACTGTAAAGAGATGCGTATAAAATATAGTGATGCCTCTGCTAATGCTTTAAAATTATAGGTACATTTACATAATATGTAAATATGATGTATGTATGTATGTACATAATATGAATGGAATATAATTTTTCCAAATATCTACCATTGTTACATTGGAAAGTAATATTTATTGAAATTTATCAGTTTTCGTATAATTTTTGCAGAAAAACAGTTTTTCGAAACATAAGCTCTTAAAAGCTATGTGAGCTCTCAATTGTATAAAGGCTAACCACTAACTACTTTTGAAACCAAGAATAAAATTAAAAAATGTTAAAAGGAGCATTGAAGCTTTAAAAGGAATGCGAAATAATTAAAATTTTTTGATTGAATTCATTCGAAACATTTTATAATAAATTAAATAAAAAAGAATTATGTATTATTTTATGCATTTTTTAGTTCTGTCGTAGAAATTTAGGTTATACATAAAGGTTTTCTTTATAAGATCTTACATATTTTATTATTTTCTTAGAAATTGGTTTTTAAAATCGAATAATATCAAATCAATTACATTCTCCAAAACTAGTAACAAATTGTATACAATAAACTCAGTCTTAATATTTTTATAACGTTTTCGTTCTATCTAAAGTTGAAGTACATGCAATATAAGAGAAGGACTTGTCTTATTCAAACATTTTTTTTAAGAAGTACTAAGAAAATTGTAGAAGTAAAGAAATATTCAAAGTATTGCATTAGTTCTTAAATGAATAAGGTAGCACCCTAATCTAAAAATACTACTATACGAGAGGCGAATAATTATTGTCCAAAATTTTTTTTGTCAGTGAGTCCTAAATCACTTTGATTATGGAATCTACATACATGGGACTTTGAAAATTTTGCACAGCCATTTATAGAGCATTTTTATGTGTACATAGCAACATAATTTATAAGAACATATATTCATATGTACCTATATCTATATAATATTGTAATTATTACAATTGTACTTTTTAATGTGATTTTATTTTTTTCGTTTTTACATACATTTTCACCAAAGTTAATTTGATAAAATATTTCTATTTAATTTAAATTATGCTGGTAATAGTCACTGTATTAATTATTTCTTTATTAGGTATATTACATACCTTACGTACGTACATATTCTTATACTCATTATTTATGTATATTTATACATATAATATATTACAAACACATATAGATTTACATATTTTATTTAATTTGTTAAAGGCTTCATATTGTTTGGTGGCATAATTACAAATTTTTCAACTGCAAAATTTCTACATCATCCTTTTTTTTGGTTAAAATGAAATTTTGAAACTCTTCTCATACTCTGCACTTTATTTGTTGGAACATTGTGTTGTGTATGCCTAAATGTATACCTAAAATTATCTATACTTAAATATTTTCTTTTACAAATTTTTGAAAAGTATATACATACATATTTATATATGTGTTTGTATGTAAATGAAATCACATTTTGCCTAATTAATAAATGTTTACCAAAAAATGAATTTCATTTAAACAACCATAATAATTAATTATTTTATACCCTTCTCAAACAAAGTTCCTCTGTTGGTAGTAGAAGGTATAAGATAAGGTAAATATTTATTTGGTAACTCCACCCTATATCTTTGTGTATTGTGAACTCAAGTATTCATATGTATATGAATAAAAAGGAAGAAAAAAGAAAAAGAAGAACAAAAAAGTGACAAAATATACGCGAAATATTGTTCGCATACATAATGTATACGCATACATACAGATATACATAAATTATATATAAACCTAATATTATTTAGTTAAAATATTTTACCTTTTTGTATATTATACAAACATATATGGATGTATAATCTATTAAGTACACTCGGGAATTAATTTTTCGTTATACAATTAAATTCCGAAATACATCGTAAGGATTTGTAGTACGACTTTTGATTTATGTTTGATTAAAAGTTTTCGAATTTTACGAATTTTGTTTGTGGACCTCTCGGATAATCGATTTGCTTACAAGTTTTTTTTTTGAAAAATAAGGTTAAAAATTACAGTTGGATTTGTGAAATGAAATCAGATTATTGACAGCTGATATTAGAAATTGAGAGCTCGTAGGTTACAGCAAAAAGTTGATCAAGATTTTATACAAATGAAGGCACGAGTGTCAATTGACAATTGACAGGTCACAGTTGACAGGTGAAACTTGATAATTAACATTTGACAGATGACAGTTAAGATTTGACAGCTGGTAGCTGATATGTAACGGTTGACAGCTTGCAGCTGACATGTAAGAGTTGACATCTGTCAGGTGACAGTTGATATTTGACAGGTGATAGTTGACAGCTGTCCGATGACACTTGACAAGTCACAGACTTCAGCTGACAGATGACAGTTGATAGGTGGCAGCTGACAGATGACAGCTGGTGGATGAAAAATGACATGGTGGATTTGACAGGTGACTCTATACTCAATATTCAAGATTTTACACAAATGAAGACACGAGTAAATGAAGGTGTTATTTATAGTTTTTACGAAAATGGGTTTATTACGTAGAAATAGAAGTTTTATTTGTTTATCTTTCATATGCAAAAACCCGTGTTTCAAAAAATGACTCCGTTTAAGAGCTAGCTTATCTTTGGTGTTATGTCAAACTTTTGAATTATTTTTGAATTACTTTAAATTAACCTTTGAAAAAAGGTTGATTTACTCGAAATTTCAAAAACTGTGGTTGACATCTTCAATTACTAAATGTCTTCAAATGTTCAAGAGCAATTTGAAGTGTAATAGACTTTTACACGTACCCACATTGAAGCTAATTTTGAGTTCGGTTTTATAATCAAGGTTGTCAAAAGTTTTTCAAATTAAAATGCATTATCTTATATTTGAAATTTTTGACAGAATTTCTCTTCACCAACTCTAAAGCTTTTCACTCTCACTTAATTATTTTTGTTTTAATTTGAACTTTTTATTTTATATTTTAAATTTTACCTATAGCCTTATTTTTAAAAACTTTACACCACAATTAATTTAAGGTTCTAATTGTAACAAATTAGATGGGTACAAACAGAATTTCAAAATTTTATCATGTATTATGTGAATATATAATTATTTACATATACATAAATATATATTATATATATTAATAATAGAGAAAAGGAAAAAAATATCCTTAATATCGAATGAATGTGTGTATGTTTAATTAATGGCATCTTTTACTTTTGATTTCCTTTTTGAAAGTTACTAAAAAATAACAAAAACAAAAATTACCAAAAAATAAAAATCACAAAAGAAAAGCTAATGCAAAAGCTATAGATGGAAAACTGGAAAACTTTATAAAATTTGGATTAATTTGTTGAAATAATTTTTGATTTTAATTCTTTCCCGTCTTTCATTCCCATTTTACTTACATACTTGTGTAGAGGAATATTGTATATTATTAAGGTTGAATGAACAACAATTTTATTACTGAACGTAAATACACCCTT